TGCAGACTCCTGAACTTGCAAACCCTCCAGACTAAAAAAACAAAAAAAACAAAAAAACAACCAACAACAACACAAAAACTGGAGGCAAAGAATAACTCAAAATGCATATTTTTAAAGCCTGTAATTGATAAAATCAAATTGACAAACTAGAAGGCCTAGCAGGGAATTTTAATTACAGCACTGGTAATATTGTAGCAAAATCTCAGCCTTCCTCATATCAGCTGGCACTAGCAGGTGCATTTTTCACATCAGAGGCTCCTTTTGTTATCTTTTTTTTTCCTCCATATTTTTCAGCGTCTAAATCACTTTATACACTATAGCTATTTGCTATTTTATATCGGTTTTGGTTTTTTTTTTTTTGCTATGTGCACAGTCTGAACACTGCCTACCCTTTCTCCTCTGCTCACTCCTGCCTTGCCCAGAACCTTCTAGCTTTTTCCCCATGTCCTTCTCCAGTCCTGTAGACTGCAGTGGCCCAAAACACTGTTTTGTGCAATGATTCTGCATCTTTTCAGCTTGTTTGTTTCACATAAGCTCCATCTGCTGGTTAAAGCTAGAATCTGTATGAGTTTTCACTGTGACCTGCAAATACTACTTTTCCCTCTTTGAAAATAGACCACATCCATATTCTTCCAGTGGTGTTCTCGTGTCTGCCTAAAGGTAAAGTTTAATTAATGACCACGTAAGCTATTATTTTACAGGGCAAATTTGGGTCAAGTTTATGCAATATTTTAAAACACTTTTTCTCTAGAATTGGAGTGGGTAATCATTTGGAATGATTTTTCAGCACAATATTACTGTTATGGAAATCTCTCTGGCACTGCATGCAATTCCCACTGCTTCTGTGCTCTTGCTAATGCGTAGCCACTACTGCTTGGTTTTGGCATACAAGGAACAGGAATGAACTTGCGACCTGGACGTTCATAGAGAGTGAGTCTGTAATCCAGCTACCACTTGAACTTTTACCTTCGGGTTTTAACATTTAGAAAGCAACGGGAGTATTTTTATGTATCCTGGGAGTCTCTCCAAAATATCTATGATTATGAATGGGAGTATTTTTAAAGACTACTAACAATCCTTTGGTTTTCTCCCTCGAGTGGAAACTTAGTGTAACTGCCTACACAGTAAAGTCTTTTTTTCACATTTATGCTGAACAGTAGTGAATACCAATGAGGTTGATTTCATATTGTTGAATCTACTCAGTAAGACAACCTGGTAATTGCCATAGAAACAGATTCTGCAGACTTAAACCTTAATTCTACTTTTAAATATCATATATAGACCTGAATCACTACAGAGCGTATAATCAGGCTGTGTAAACAAAAATGATTCTGCATCAGAGAAACAGCAAGCCTGTTTTTCATCCCATCAGATGCTAATTGTGTTCCCACCTCCCCCTACTTCCAGCCCACAGCATGACAAATTGAACCTCCTTCCCCTTATGCACCAAGTCCTATCTCCAGTGCCTTACTGCCAGCTCAGCTTGTCACTTTGGTGCAATGGGGAACAGAGGCCATGTGTGTGAAATGAACGTGGTCCTGGAAGGAGTGTCACAGATTTTCTATTGCTACCCAGCCACTTGCACAAGCTAGAGGGCAACTGTATCTGAAGCTGGGAGTGAAGGTCCTGCTACTCACTCCAAAAAAAAAACCATGAGCAGGATCTAGCAGGTGCTTCCCGGAACATATCTATCCTTGGGAAAAGAGTGGCAACTATGGTACTCTGTGTTTTTGTAAATCTTATGTACATCTCTCTTTAAACAAATAAAACATTCTTGCATTTTTTTTTTTCATATCACTGGGTTATGCTCAGATATAAGTAAATGTTTTGGTGTATTATTGTGCTCTTTGTTTTTGTTATGGTTTCCATGCTAACAAATAGAAGGCATTACTTTTGGAGCAACCTATGTAATTGTTTAGCCAGTTATCATGCTGCTATTTAACATTCCAGGGGAAAAAAAGCTGATGCTTAACAAGAAATAATAACCTTAATTTTGTTTAAATCCTGCATGTGTTTTCATCCTCATTAAATTCATCTAAAAAGGGTTTGTGTTTCCTCCTTTCAGTCTCACCCTATTCCTGCCAGAAAACACATAATTTTCAACAAGACCGCTGGCAATTTTTCTGAACAACATGGGTGCTTTAAGAATCTGGTCTAAAATGACTGTAGTAGCTTAAGGTTTTTCAAATAAAATCCTAGTAACTATGTGTTTTGTGTCTTATTCTGTGTTCAAGTGATATTGTGAACTTATAGGCTGCTTGAATGTACTGGAATATGCTTTTCTTTAAAGCAAAAACTGACCTGTATGGATAATCCAGATATAAACCACAGTCACTGGACCTTCTCATATGGAAACAGTTCATACAGTGACTTGAAAATTATTATTAGTTTTTTTTTCTTAAGCTATATTTTACAATACTTATTAAGTGCACTAAATCAAGTAGTATTTTGAAACTGTGTGTTTGTTGAGAGAATTTTCACAGAGTGTATTATTTTTCCTTTTAATATATGGTAGAAAAGCACACAACTTCCAGGTATCAACAAATCTGGAACAAAAGGCTGTACAGAAATATAACTGATTCAGATCTGAAAGGCTTGCGTGTACATTGTCTGGCGTGCTGCATACCACTGAAATTAATGAAACTGTTGAGAGTCTGATTACTCGTCTGCTTAAGTGTATTGAGTCCACTGCAACCATCTGTTTGCTGTCTGAAGGCTCTTGTCAATAGTTTAATGACTTCAGAGCATATTCTTCTTGTTCTGTAGACTTCATATAGTGTTTCTACATAATTAAGCAGCTTTGTTAAAGGAACTGCCATTAGTTGCCCCATTTCATTTTGTTTAGTTATCATCCAACCAGAAAGAAAAAAGAATAACAAGAGAAGGCTACAAATCCACTCTCGTGACTGAGAGATTTTTTTTTTTTTTAGGATTGATGTAGTAACATAAAGCAATGTTGTTATGTCACATGTTTTAAGCAACTTTAACCATTGAAATATATCAGACTCTTAAGAGACTTCTGAAAGCCTTGCATTATGTTTTGGAGCTATACATTTTAAAAGCAGCTCTGATAAAAAAGCACATAAATATCAGTTACATTTCTAACAGTCACTAAATAGAACCAACAATAGTGGTCTTGTAGCCAATACAGTTAAAAGATACATAAGAAATGGGTATCTCGATTTATTTTAAGGTTTGGTCAATTGAATATCCTTTGATATTCTATATGATGAATCACAGAATTATGGAATCACAGAGTTGTAGGGGTTGGAAGGGACCTCTAGAAATCACGAAGTCCAACCCCCTGCTAAAGCACGTTCCCTACAACAGATAGCACAGGTAGGCATCCGGACAGGTCTTGAATATCTCTATAGAAGGAGACTCCACAACCTCTCTGGGCAGCCTGTTACGGTGCTCTGTCACCCTCACTGAAAAGAAGTTCTTCCACATATTTGTGTGGAGCTTTCTATGTTCCAGTTTTTGACCATTGGCCCTTGTCCTATTGCTACGCACCACTGTGAAGAGCCTGGCCTTATCTAATTGCTTCCCACACTTCAGATATTTATAAACATTGATCAGATCCCCTATCTTCTCCAGGCAGAACAGACCAGGGTCTCTCAGCAGGAGATGCTCTAGGCCCTTTATCATCTTTCTTACCTTTTCAAGGAGACTCTAAGAGATCCCTATCTTTTTTGATCTGGGGAGTCCAGAATTGGACACAGTAGTCTAAATGTGGCAGAATGGAGAAGGAGGATCACCCCCCTTGACCTGCTGGCCACACTCTTTTTAATGCACCCTAGGATACCACTGGCCTTCTCAGCCACCAGGGCACACTGCTGGCTCATGACCAACCTGTTGTCCATCAGGGCACCCCACCCCTCCGCGGGGCTCCTGTCCAGCAGGTCATCCCCTAACCTGTACTGATGCTCGTAGATAAACAACATACATTTTATTTTCATATTTAGGAGAAACCCTGATGATTTTCTTTAAATACACAAAAGAACTTTAAAAATGAATAATTTCTAGCATTTTTGAAGTCTTTGGAATAAAGGGACGACTTCAGACACATTTGCTTTTTCCTCTGTTTCAGTCGGTCTCCTTTTGGGTGAATCCTGATGATCCTGCCACCCTTTGCAGATAAGGAAACAGCCCCTGTTTTCTTCAGGGCTTTGGTGTGTGCAACTGCCCGGTGTTATAAACAAAAGTGAAATGCTAGAGGTCCATAGGAGCAGAACCTTTGTGTCTGTTCAGAGCTGCCCTTGAGGCAGCCATCTTGTTGCCGATGGTGTCAGCCATCTTGTTGAGAAACACTTGCAGCAGCTTTGCCCCCATTTTCCACCCAAACTTCACGCACCTCATTTTTAGCATTTCATTGTTCTCATATTAAATGATCACTTCTGCCGTTTGATTTTGGTTGTTCCCTATGTCTCTGTGATCAAAGGTTAAACAAAACGAGTGGCACAATTTATGCTGTTCTGAGCATGTGAGTATTTGATCAAAGATGCTCACACCAGTCGGGAGCAGAGTGGTATTCGTGGAACAACGAATCCTAACTACAGCTAGCACCAGCAAAGCACCGCTGTTGGCTGTTGCTTTATGTACTATTTTAGCTCTAAAATATCCTAACACTCCGCAGACAGGTGTTTTTTTCTCATCACATCCTGTGATACACGCTCAATAAAACGACCAATTGCTGAGCAGTGGTTTTAGCGGGGCTCGCTCGGCCCCACACGCGTCACCGCCGCGGGGCCAGATCCCCTCAGCGAGAGCCCCGCCTCGCCGCCGCCGTCCTCTACGATGGGCGTCAGCGCAGCACCCAGGACTACAGCTCCCGGCATGCCGCGCGCCCTGAGAACTACGCTTCCCGGCGTGCCCGGCTCCGGCGTGGGGGTGGCGCTATGCGGTCGAGCCGGCCGGGTGCAGCTGGGCGTAGCGGGGCGCACAGCGTGCGGCGGGACGCGAGCGGGCCTGCCGGCGGCCGATAGCCGCCCAGCGCCAAGATGGCGTCCATGCTGCTACAGAGCTGCGGCCGGCGGGCCTGGCGCCTGCCCCGCGCGCTGCGCCGCCAGGCCCCGCAGGGTGAGGCTCCGGCGGCCCCGAGGGAAGCGCGGCCCTGCGTTGCCGGGGGGGGGGAGGCTGAGGAGGGAGCGAGGGCTGGAGCGGGAGAGGCGCTGCGGGGGCTTGCGGTGCGGGCGGAGAGGTCGCGGCCCAGGGCCGGGCCCGGTTCGCGGCGTGGGGGGACGTGAGGCGCTGAGAGCGTCCGGTCCCGTCAGGGCCCGAGGCCTTGTTGCCCCGTGGCTGCGAGGCGCTGCTCTCAGCGTTGCGCCCATCTCACCGTTCGTCCCTTACCTTACGTTATGAAGGCGGTGTCGGTTCAGTTTCATCCAAGCGGCTCTGAAGGCGGTGGAAAACAAAAAGGAAGCTGAGCCATACGCGTGATACGGTTTCTATTACTGAGATAACTTGGCAGTTGAAATATCTCAGCGCCGTGCAGTTTAAGGACATGGAGCAGCTGATGCCCTGTGACGTCCATCAGCCTTACGCCTGCTTTTTACGTCCGGGATCTGGAGCGGGCAAGGGTTTAGCTGTGGGGTGAGGAGAGCTTAGCTGTCATTGCTTTCCTGCTGGTTAGACAGCTCATCCTGGAAAAAAACTCATGCTGGAATGCTGTGGTAAAATCAGATAGCTTTTGTGCTGTAATGCTCTGTGCTTATGGTATCTTCAGTGCTTTTAATGGAGCATTAATCCATTACTAATGATATTTTATGGTGTCATTTTTTCATGGAATCACTAAGGTTAGAAAAGACCACTGAGTTTGTCCAGTCCAACCATCAGCCTATCTCCACCACATCCCTCAGTGCCACATGTCCATGTTTCTTGAGCTCCTCCAGGGACAGCGACTGCCACTTCCCAGGGCAGCCTGTTGCAGTGCTTTGTATCTCTCTCAGAGTGGTTTTTATGTGGTGTTTTGCTTGACTTACCTCATCTCCTTTGCTTTACATGTCAGTAATCTAAGATTAAGTTAAAGCTAAGTGCTCCTAGGAATCCTAAATGTTCTTCCTGTACAGATCAAGCTGCTTACACTTTGTAGGGACTTAATTCCTGTCAGCAAGCCCCTTATTGCAATAACAGAACACAGCTATTCTGCATTACAAGCTTTCATTCTAATGTCTTATTACATTTAAAGTGTTCTGATTGCATTTTTTTCCATGAGGAATACGTGTATGCATATCTTTTCTGACACTCACTTTCCCTACTTCCCAAGCAACTCATACTATTGCAAATTCTTAAGTTAACAGTGTTGAGTATGGTGAGCTGTATTCATCTTGCTCAGACATGTCTGGATTTCTGTCCTACTCCATAGGCCAGAAGCATGAACTTTGCTCTTTTCTGAAGAAAGCAAGTATTTCACTTCAGGGCTGGGTTGCTCCCAGGTACTGTGATTAAAACATAGATTCAGTGTAACATATAGAGATCTTGTAGTCAGAACTAGCCATGTTCAAATTAAGTTACTCTCTGGAATGCTCCAGTGACATCCGTGTTTCGGTGTGCTCGTTTGCATTCCAAAAGGCAATATGACAAGAGTTGTTGAGTCAGCATGTTTTCTTTCATATGGCAACTATAGAGTTTTGTTCTTTGCCCTTTCCTTGGAATTAATGAGTCCTAGCTGGAAGACAAATAAAGTTAAATGAAAGCATCTTGCTCCTACTGAGTTTTATCAAAGAAACTTAAAGCCAACTTTGATCTTTTCTGTATCATCTCTATTTGTCCTATGAGCACCTGTCTGTAGCAGGTAATGCCCTCTGCCAGTAGGACTCTCATTTTTGACACGTGCTTTGTGTACTTTCTGGCACTGAGACAGAAAAACATGGTTTTGGGGCTCATCTGTGAAGATCCTGAATGCTGCTGGCTCGTTCAGCTGTTCTCAGGAGCGCCTTTTTGATAGGGCTTGATTCTCAGGTCAGGGAACTCAGCCACTGATCAGAATGCCTTCACAGGTTCCCCAGGCTGGTTTGTGAGCCAGAAGGGCTGTCTTTCTCCTGGCTCTTTCTTGCAGCAACAGCAAGTGTCTGTTAGAGTTTCATGTAACTTGAGATGGGTAAATCCTTTTCCTTTGACATTCTAATGCCATAACTTCAATGACATCAAAGCCCACTTAGCACAATACATCCAGTGATTGTTGAGAGTGTTCTTTGGTAAATCAACTTTTTTTTTTTTTTTTGCCCCCCTCGCTTTTCCTTCTGTTGTGCCTTTTGAACTCCCTACCTGATTTTGGAGATTCTCTTCCTGTAATAATTAGGCTGTGTTGCTGGGAAATGCTTTTGCCAGTCAGATTTGGTACTTTTTCTCGGGTATGACTACTTCTACTTCAGTTTCTCTTATAGGTTGTATCTTAGCTTTGATGTTAAAAAAGTTGACCAGTAACCTTGAAAACGGATCTTAAACTCTGCCATCTCTTGGAATTGACCAGAAGTAGTGTAGTAGGTGGTAATCCATCTGGGTTGTCTAATACTGTGTTGTTGTGGAGTCATTCAAAAACTGCATTTGCTTTCAGTGAGGTTGTTCAGAGTTGCAATTGTTTGTCCAAAGGACTCAGAAACCTGTCAGGCAATTGAAAAGTCCATGCATTACCTTGCATTCCACAGAGTTTGGCTGTATATGTGGGCAGTTTGCTTGCACATGTATGGAGATGTCAGCCATGTTACAGAAGGGCTTCCTGCCCTTTTGTTTTCCCATTTTATCCTATGAGTCAGAAGATTGCAGACTGAGAGAAATGTGGAGAACGTGCCACGTACTTTGATTCCTGTTGGAATAGGATGAGGTTTTTGGTCTTCAGTTCTTCACTTGCGATTGTCAAAGGAAAAGCTCCTCCTTCTTGGACGTTTGAGATGAACAGTCATCCCAACTGTGAATGTGCTTACAATAAAAATCCAGTTGCATAACAGCAGTTTCTTTGTGGTTTTTATTGGTAACTGCTTCTTAGTAAGACTGGTCGTTTTAGATCACATTTGTGTACAATTCACTATATGGATAAATGTTTTTCCGAATTCAGATTGAATGCTAACAATTGGTGTTTTTCTAGGTAACTTGGGAGATCGGGCTTGTCTTAGTTGTTCATCCCTGAGGTTGGCAAACAAAATGTAAGTAAATATGAAACGTTTTTTCTAAGCTCAAAGCTGTACCAAACTCTTGGTTATTATACTATAATGAAACACTGTTTTCACTTCTGTACTCAAAGTGTGAAAATACCAGCTTTATCCTGTCACTGACAGACATAAGGAAGTCTGGGAATAATTCTCTTCACCTAACTGATTGTATGTGGGAGAAAGTGGTATCTTTTCCTTTTTCATCCACTTTCACTCTGTTTCCTTAAGATGTGAAAGCAATGGAGTATTATTTTTCTGTTCTTGCCTGATTCCAGGTGACATAATGGCATATCGTGGGTTCCATTCATCCCTTCTCCATGGAATTCCTTAGTGTCTTAAGCATTCAGTCAAGGGTAGTTTGAAATACATAGTTGTCAGTTAGGAACTTAGTCACTTGAGTTGTACCTTGGTCAAACCAAGACTGTTCTGTACATTACAGCCTTGACTGAGGCTCATTGAGGAGATTATGGTCTCTTTTGCAAGTAAATCCAGTTGTTCTGTGCTCTTATGTCACATAAGGATCTGGATGAGAGAGTCCATTCTCCTTCTGGCCTGCCTTACAAGTCATATTTATAGATATAAATTTTCTAATGCTTTTTGTTGGAATAAAATATGTTGTCTAGTTTATTTAGTCTGACTGTTCAGTAAACAGTGACCATTCCTCAGTTTTGTAAGTTTCTATTTTATTGTAAGGGTCTTACAATCACAGAATCACAAGGTTGGAAACGAGCTGCAAGATCATCTAGTCCAACCACCCTCCCATTCCTATTAGTACCATAAGCTACTAAACCATATCTCGTAGCTCCTCATCCAGGCGCCTCTTGAACACTGCCAGGGATGGCGACTCCACCACCTCCCTGGGCAGCCATTCCAGTGCCTGACCACCCTTTGAGAGAAAAAGTTTCTCCTAATGTCCAACCTAAACCTCCTCTGGTATAACTTCTGGCCGTTTCCTCGGGTCCTACTATTTGCCTGGGAGAAGAGGCCAGACCCTTTTGCACCACAAGCTCCCTTCAGGAAATTTGTAGAGTGCAATGAGGTCTCCCCTGAGCCTCCTCTTCTCCAGACTGAACAATCCCAGCTCCCTCAGCTGTTCCTCATAACACTTGTGCTCCAGATCCCTCACCAGTTTTGTTGCCCTTCTCTGGATACAGTTCAGGGCCTCATTGTCTTTCTTGTAGTGAGGGGCCCAAAACAGAACACAATACTCGAGGTGCGGCCTCACCAGTGCTGAGTACAGGGGGATGATCACCTCCCTGCTCCTGCTTGCAACACTGTTTCTAATGCAGGCCAGGATGCGTTGGCCCTGTTGGCCACCTGGGCACACTGTCGGCTCATGTTCAGCCGAGCATCAACCAACACCCCCAGGTCCCTTTCCTTTTCACAGTCATCCAACAAAGCCTGTAATGCTGCATGGGGTTGTTGTGGCCAAAGTGCAGGACCTGACACTTGGCCTTGTTAAACCTCATCCCATTCATCTCAGCCCAGCGATCCAGCTTATCTAGATCCCTCTGCAGGGCTTCCCTGCCCTCAGGCAGATGGACACCACCTCCCAACTTGGTGTCATCTGCAAACTTACTCAATCTGATACAAAACATAAAGTGATTCCTTTCTTCAGTATTGTCAGTTCTGTATCACTTGCTACATAATTAATTATGAGAGGTTTTAATATATAGACTTTTTTCAAGTCTCAGTTGGCTTTTTTTTATAGATTGCTATGACGCATGATGCTATATTCTCTCTTTGGGAAGTATGAAAACTTACTGATTTACTTCTGTAATATAAACAGAATGTTGTGACAGAAATCACTGGTTTTTAGGTTGTGGGTTGGTTGGTTTGTTTTGAGAAGCTCTTGTGCTAAAAGCTGCTGTTACTGTGATGTTGCTCCTTAAAATAAAATGAAACAGATGCCTGCACACATCCAAGATTCAAAGCAGGAGAGCTTGGGAAGAAAGCTCTGCATCCAGCATCTTGTAGTGGAAGTGTATTTTAAGAGAGGCGTTTCTTGTCTTCTAATGTGTATCTATTGTTTCAAGTTATTTAATAACACTTTCCTTCTGACTTCAGTTTGCATTTAATATAAGAGAAAGAGCCACATTCTGTTAGTCCTGTGTGCACCACCTCAGAACCACGGTGGAAGTTCACGTGTAAAGTTTCTTCTGAAAAAAGAAAACAAGATCGGGGAGAGAGTAAGGGAGGAACTCCAATGAAATCAGATCTCTCTGATGCTAATCCTCTTCCCCTAACTCAGTACCTGACCCAAGCCTATAGTCTGCAGTATCTTAACTGTTTTGTCTAAATAAAAGAAATAATAGAAGGGGCTTTATGTTACTTACGGTTTTACAGATTTATTTTCAAGTGGAGAGCACTTCTATTTGCTGCTTTTCATTTAACTTGTGTAAAATAAGTTACCTTTTCCAAGTAGTTTTAAGGAGAATCCACTGCAGAATTTTTTCAGGTTTTGTTTTTTGTTTTGGCTTTGTTTGGTTGGTGTTCGTTTGATGGATTTGTTTGATTTGTTGTCAGATTTAGACATCCTGATCTTGAGATTTGTTAATAAATCTCTCTGAATAAGTGGTGCATACATACATATTCCTCAACCAACGCACCATGTATTGTTAGTTTTTAATGCTCTTTCTTCTTCTCTTTTGAAGGACTGTACACTTTAAATATTGCACTGGTGTCGCTCCTGTTTACACATACTCCAAAAAAGATCACTGCTGCTGGTGGACTAAAGCATCGGAACGAACGTACTTTACTCTTATGAGCTCTTCTGGCTCATGGATGCCCCTGGCAGCCATGGGTGTTTTAGGACCCAAGTATCTTCCGGTTAGGTTGTGGCATTCTTCACGTTCTCTTCAAGATGACTCCATAGTTGAAAAGTCCCTGAAGTCCTTGAAGGACAAAAACAAGAAGCTGGAAGAAGGAGGTCCGGTATATAGTCCAACAGAAGTGGAAGTTGTGAAAAAATCTATTGGACAGAAGATTGTGGATGAGCTAAAGCACTACTACCATGGTTTTCGATTACTCTGGATTGACACAAAAATAGCTGCAAGGATGCTCTGGCGAATACTGCATGGAAATACTCTGTCACGTCGAGAACGGAGACAGGTACTGAGTAAATACCAATTTCATTTTAGTATCCTTAATGATTGCTCCATTTTATTTAACCTGAATTCATTCTTTTTTGCATTTTCTTCCAAGAGTTAAAATGGCTTTATGAATTTCCCTCCTTTGCCTCACGTAGGCACTGAGAACTTCTGATTTGATTCCCAACTGTTTTAAGTCTTTTCCCTCGGTATGGCTCTTTGAACCTACCATTAAAACAACAAAATATGCTGTTTAGAAATGTGACTACTCTGTTTCTAAATGATACATGAGCATATATATCTTCTCTTGCTCTGTGTCTGGAGAAAAAAAAAGTTGGAGATAAATTCTTTTGCTAGTTAGAAAAGCTGATTTTTCTGCTTTGGCATGTGAGCAGCAACTGTGGTTTCTTCTCAAGTTCCCATCCAGTTACACGTGTAAACATGATCACTTTCTCTATTTTACATTTTCAGCTGAAAAGATGGAGGGAAAACACTTCTAGCAAAGGTTGGTTTTGTGCCAACTTGGTTCTAAAAGCAAAACCAAAAAAAAGAAAATAAAGTAGAAGATGTAGTTTAACTTCATGGTTAACAGTGTGGTGTTATTTCGGTTTCAGTTATAAATGTGTTTGTGAGATAATTCTACTCTGAACAGATAACTTGAGAGAAGTCTTTATGTTTTCCACGTGCTGTGCAGCTTACAGTCTTTGAAATTGTGTAAAGATGACCATTTTAGAAAAGCTTGAAAGAATTTTTGAGAAGAAGATTTGGACAATATATGTAAACAGCTTGTACAGATCATCAAATTGAGTTCTTTTAAAACTCAAAAACACTTCATCTGGTTTTGAAAAAATTGTGGTGGATGAGATGTTCGAGAATAAAATGTGTATGTATTCTGGCAGCAGGAGTGGTTGGTGCCTCTGGTGGTTAAGTATAAATGTCTGCAGATTGGTGTGCTACAGAGGCAGTGTGTTAAATTTGGGTCCTAAAAACGTTCCTAAATGTTCAAAAACACGAATGCTTTAATGATTTATTGATAAGCTTAGTTGTATAATCGAGCATTTTCATGGATAATTTGAAAACAGCACATCTCAGTGAACTATGCAGAAATGTTTCTTTTTGTACATCCACCGGATCAGACGCATGACAGAAAGTGGTTTTCATCATTCATTGTGGCTGGGCTCTCTCTGCAGCAGCAGAGGTTGATGGCATTTGGTCCCAGCATCTTCACGCGACTTATTTTTGTTCTACTCTTTAATGCTGGTGTAAGAGTGTATTTGGCAGCTGAGCCAGTTGAATCGTTGCTCAGCAATAAATTTAAAAGTGTATGCTGACATAAGACAGGGGATTATGTAGTGCCAAGAAAGAGCAGCTGAGGAGAGCAGGGGAAACGAGGACAGCAGGACCTTGGGAAGTTCTTGTTTGGGGCTCTGGAGTACCGGGAAGACTAAGCAAAAGCAGTTAATTCACAGATGTCTTCCATAAGGCAGGACTGGAACCACTGGCTTTTCTGCCTGTTTCAGATCTGCTGAGCCATACTTCTGAGAAACTGCACAAACAGGAAAAAAGAGAAATCCCACAGAAGCGTTTCTGCTGAAAGATGAGAAGTGTGTACTAGAAGGCTTGAACAGTCAGGAGCAATGTGTTGTCTTTGGATGAGCACATGCCCCATCCAGTCAGTAGAGGAATTTATTCACTAGATTCCTCTCCAGTGCTGACGTCCAGTGAGCATAGAGCTGTCTTTCTCATAGTTGTGTAGTTGTTTGGCCTTCCTGAATTTTATTTATTGCAGATGAGAGCTTCCACTGTTGATTCTCTTTATTTTAAAGAAAACAGAAGTTTCTTGCATAGATAAAGTTGGTGTTTACATTGGTAAAGCTTCTCTAATGATGAAATCTGTAGGCATTCCAGTGAAGAAATTGTAGGGAAAAGTAATTTGAAGAACTATGGCTGTTTTACTTTCTCAATCTAAGCTGTGTACATTCTTCATATGGAGGTAGAGGATGTCCTGCCTCTGGAATGGAAGAGTCGTGGTAGGCCTTGAACCCAGGCCAGTGAAAAGCAAACTGGTCTGCAGCTGAACGAAACCCCTTGCATGTGCTTCTTTAAAGCCTTATTTAGGTTTGTTTCAGCACAGGTTTTTTTTTTTTTGTTTTTAAATCGGATCATCCTTAAATTGTGGTGTGACATCTGATTTTAAAGAAGTCTTAAATCTTTCATGTTAGGTATGTAAGAGTTGTGCCTGAAATTCTTAGTATTTGAAGTGCATACTCTTTTAAATGTAATAAACCATGTGTGAACCAACAGTCCCAGAAAAATCTTATCTTCACTCAAACTGACAAATGAATTATTTCTGCTTGCCTTTTCCTTCCTCTTTGGAGGCAATAATGGAAAGATATCTGAGTAATCTAACCACATTAACAAGCAATTGCAGCGTGGTTAATGCAAGGACGCTATTGCTTATGTAAACCAAAACTCAGTTACAAAATTCTGCTTGTACAATTGCTGGCAGGCTTTAGATTCAACAGCATCACTCGTGTACATTTAGATGATAAGTCAGGAAAAATTAAATGTGTAAAATATGATACTGACTGTTCAAAAACTAATTTCTCTGATGATGCTTTTTGCAGCAGGGATGTTCAGGGCATTAAATGCTACAGAATTGGTGGCAAGTATATTGGCTCTGCAGAGCCTTCTGTCCTGCAGAAGAGTGGAGTGGTGCAGTACACGAGCTGTAGCAGGGGATACAGAGCAATCACAAGTTCTTCCTGCTACTGCCAAGCAATGTGTGGAATCATGCACCACTGTATTCAGTCTCTGTGCAGAGCTCTTAGTGTAGGTCTGTGATTTATGTAAGCTGAGCCAGGGCTGTGCTGCTGCAGCCTGGCTTGGTGCTTAAATGCAAGATCTTCCCCTTGCCTACTCTGTCTCCTTTTGTTTTGCACTGATCTGCATCCTGTGTGTGTGTTTACACGTCAGTTTTAGCTGGATTGGAGGTGTGCCTGCTAGTGCACATTTAATATGGCATCTCAGATTAACTTAATCTGGATGTAAAACTGCTTCCTTAGATTTGGATTTCATCTTAGATAAGTACCTTCAGTATCTAAATATAGAGAGTGGGTAGAAATAGGAGCAGTAGATTGCATTCTGTGTATTTTTTTGACGTTTTTTTCCTCAGGGAAAATGTCCGTTCTTCTGACTCTTAACATTCCCTTCTGAACTTTCTTACATCCTTTCGAACTCCCTGGTTGTCATTTATCTGCTATTGTTGGAGTGAATGGAAATGCCTTTGAGCCTGCAAACAATGGACAAAGCTTCCTTTCTGGGAAACTGCATTTTTTTTTATATAGAAAGAAAAATGCCGGCCTTTACATCTGCAGAGCTTGTGCTTAAACTGCATATAATACTTCTGGATGGTTTTATGCTGAGAAAATGGATTAAAGCTGTATTGGTTTTGTACTCTAGCAAAGCTGTTCTGTAGCAGCATGCAGCCTGTACTGCCTGTTGCTCTCCAGATTGGCACAAGCTGTGGGGAGGGGATGCAGGGGGGAAATGCACATTTACTTATGTGGTAGCATTTCTGTTGCTATTTTCTGCCAGTCATAACTGTTTATTAAGTCATAGTGCTGACTGACAGTGCTGGGACAGTAGTGCACTTCTGGCCTTTCTCTGATTTAGAAACTGATGTTATTCACAGGAACTGGTTATTTATGTTACAAAACAGCACACTGCTCTAATATAAACCAAATTATTCAGCTCCACAGTCGTAAAAATTTGATTATAGACTGTACAGCCTAATACATGCAGTTGTGGGTGTACAGAAATCAAAAGGATGATATTTATTTCAGGCCATTCTCAACTCAGTAACTAATGCAGCTGCCTGTTGCAGTGGGCTACTGCTCCAAAAAAGCCATGATTTAAAAACAACAACAAAAAAACAACAACAAAACATCCCTCTACAAAGCAGAGCTCATTACCCTGGGTTTAAATGTATGTTACAATTGTTAGAAGGCAGAGGGGAGGAGCCCTTCATTTTACTCTTGATTACTCAGTCTGCAGCAGCTCATGCATGTAAGAAGTGGTGGAGCACAAATAAAGATGAATAAAAGAGGTTAAGCAGATTTAACAACAACAAATGACCACCTCCTGTTTTCAGGTGCTTTTAAGAGGTTTAAATGAGATACTTGCTCAGTAATCCTATTGAGACACAGTGAAGGTTTTGAAATGCTTTCTGTGGTATTAAAAATGGTGACTTGGTGCTCTGTAGCATATAGTAACTGTAAGAAAAAGGTACCAAAAATTGACTGACTTCTTCACATTCTCTCTTCTTGTGTTATGTTACATTTCCTTTCTAGCAAGTGCACATGTGCAGGTGTTTTTGGTAAGGCAGATGGTTTTTTAAATAAAGGCATCAAGGTTTTTTAAATGTATGAAACTTTGCTTATCTGTACATTTGTTTTATTTCCTCCAGTTTCTTCGGATATGTGCTGATCTCTTCCGCTTGGTTCCTTTTCTCGTGTTTCTCGTTGTCCCATTTATGGAGTTTCTGCTTCCAGTAGCTCTAAAGTTGTTCCCTAATATGCTTCCCTCTACGTTTGAGACGAAGTCTAAGAAGGTAAGTCTGAATTTGTGATCCAGGAAGATGTTTGGAAGAACTTAAGCTTATGTTGTGAATGTTACCTGAACGTATTTTATACCTGCTGTACCTGTTTGTAGAATCTCATAATAAAAGTAGTCATTTCATTCTTGGTTGTAGGATGAAGTGTCTTCTGAAAAATATGGTGTTGTAAGCAATAAGCATTGCAGTGGTTCATTTTTATTTTTATTTTATGGGGTGGGAAAATGCATGTATTGTTTCAGTCCAGATCACAGTTTACAAGTTATTTTAGTCTAAAAAGATTTCAGCAAGAAGATTTGGCAACTTACATTCAATTGATATTGAGCTGTTCTAATGATGTGTAGAGTTTTATATTGCTGTATAAAGTCATAATACATTACTACTAAGTAAACAGGTTTTTTTAGGACAAAGTAAAATTTTAAGTGAGTTGACAAGAGATAAGGAATTAGAGAGATCTACATGTGCATTATTGGTAGCTGTGCATTTCAGTAGGGTTAGGAGGTCAGGATTTTAAAGTAAACAGTGCTTCAGTATTTGCTGAATTGTGTTTCAGTTTCTTGTTTTGTCAAATATGTATGGAAGAGAAAATTGCTATTTAAAATAGAAACGGGAAAACAGCTGTTTAATTTATGAAATAAAGACAGGAAATAATGTTCAAAAGTTACATATATGAGCAACTGAACTTGAGATGTGTTTTTATAAGTCTGAGAGGGATTTTAATGCTGATTACTTGAAATGATCTACTATAGACCTGTGTTCTGAGTACTTTTTTATTCTAGTATTTGACCTAAATAATGTTTTAGCTGCATCCAACACTTATTTTAGGTCATTATCAATTATGACTACAATCAAAGTATTGGTGAATGTTTTTTGTCTGCCTGCATGCTGTTTTGATGGGTGCATGTCAGCAGTAGTAGGTGAGGCCTTAAGATCTACTTTCTTGTTGGCATTGCACCTCAAGCTTCGTGGAGCTTCCAGCTGGTTGGCCTGTCTTTCAGTGTGGTTTGGTGATCTTTGTGTACATGTCCTCTTGTGAAGTGTGTTACAGCAGAAGTTCAGAAACAGCATATAAATAACTTGTCTGAGGGCAGAAGTTGTGGTATTTTAGCATAGATATTTCTGGATGAAACCTAAAAAACAACATTGGTTTTTTTTTTTTTTTGCTTGTTTGTTTTTAACAGGAGGAAAGATTAAAGAAACAACTGAGAGTGAAGCTTGAATTAGCTAAATTCCTTCAAGATACAATTGAGGAGATGGCCTTAAAAAATAAAGCAGCTAAAGGAAACGTTACAAAAGATTTTTCAACGTTCTTTCAAAAGGTAATTGTTTTCATTTGTTCCAACCCCCTGCTATGGGCAGGCACATCTCCCTCTAGACCAGCTCTATCCAGCCTGGCCTCGAATGCTTCCAGGGAGGGGGTGTTCTTTTCTTGTTTCTTTGTTCATTAGTTATTCAGACATCAAAAAGATAACACATGCAGTGAGTGACAGCTCATGTTGTTTTGGGCCTGTTTTTATGAACATTGAGTATAAAATGTGAAGAAAAAATATTTCCTAATTACCTGATTAAAACTCATTCGGGAAGTGTAAAATTTGCCCCCCTCTTTTTTTTTTTTTTTTTTTGATATATTTAATCCCGTGTATAAAAATGTTTTTCAGCAGTTTCTGTGCTGCTGAAATCCTTCATGATAATGACTAGAACTTAGGATTTTCCTGATATGTTTGGTACAAAATTTCTCTATTAGCAAGCAGTTGCTGGAATAAAGATTGAACATCAGATATCTGCCTCCAAAATGGACTGTCTCTGGGTTGTTAGTGTTTCCTTTCACTGAGTTGGAGGTAAGCTATTCTCTGGGGAGATAAAGAATACCTTCCTAAATCTCCTCAGCATAGGATTCATCTCCATCCACGCACATTTATAATTTCTGTATCATGGAGCTGTCAAGGCAATAACCATCTGCTACTGCCAGAGGCTGGGAGTATGGCTGAGAGTTTTAAGCACTTGAAAAAGGCACAAAACTCCAGGTATTTTAGACTGGGCTTTTCAAGCTTGAGCTGTGCCTGAGAATAAAGTTTTTAGAAGATGAAGTAATAAGTTGACGGCAGCAAATGGGTTGCCTCAGATAATGGTAGTGCTGTTGAAAGGTTGTGCAAGTATCTGCTTGCAAAGGCCGTGTACTCGCAAACTTATTTGCAGTCATTTGTTTCTATTCTTCTTCATGTGCAGAAGGTCTTGATTGGGTAGTTACAGTGACTAGCAGCTGAAGCATGCCTCTAGTCCTTGTCTGTGGACTCTGGGGAACATGCCACTGTTATGATTCATATTGGGAGCATTTCATTTTTATCTGAAACAACTTCTGAGAATTTAAATTCAAAGGTTGACTTCTATGGAAATTAACATGTATCACTCCACACTTTCTAGACGAGTTCCAACTTCTTGTGATGACTAAAAAGAAGCTTCAGGATCTGCTTTCCTTATGTGTGGGTGTGCTTTTTATGACCGTAGCTTTCTCGTTTGTGCTACGGAGATGAATTTTACTGATGTCATTTTGCTGTAATAAGAAATACAAAAGAAAGGTGAAATGTTTCCCCACCTTTCTGCTGTTCTCTTATGCTGCTTCTGTGGTGAAGTATTTGCCAGAAGCCATGAATTACAGTCATAACATGTTTCCTTCAGAATTCCAGAATTTACCTGCCTTGCTTTGGAAGTCACGATGAAGTTTGTGTGCACCCTCAGGAAATAGGCTTTTTTCCTTTTTTGTACAATGGTAGGATCATTTGAATTGGAAAGGACCCCTTGAAGACCATTTAGTTCAACTCCCCTGCAATGAACAGGGACACCTACAGCTCCGTGGTGCTCAGAGCCCCATGCAGTCTGACCTTGATTGTCTGCAGGGATGGGGCACCTATCATCTCTCTGGAAAGAAGAGAGATGATAGATGAATAAACTAATGCTATTCTATCTACTCTAAATCACCCCTCTTGTAGTTTGAAGCAAATGCAGTTCTGGAGAGAGCTTAGGTAGGTGAAAATTAGTGTTTCATAGGGCGAAGATCACAAAAATTTTGCCATTTGAAAATCACGGTGTACTTCTCAGTGTATCTTCAGAGAGAGATATTTTCAATGTGCTTTTGTGTTTACTAAGTATGGTGCCAGAAAGTGCACATGCCCATGTGACTCCTGTAGCTACTGTTTATCCTCTCAGCTATTTTGAGTTATCTCAAGGCAGTGCCTATTCAGAGAGAGCTAATCATTAGTGTACACATGCACTAATTGTTGGGTTTGATGCGTTTTATCTAGCCGTGTATATTACACATTGCTGTTGGAAACTGTTAATATCAATACCATTCTTTTGCCCTTTATAGGAAACAAGTACTTCTTAAAACAAATTCTTCCATGACTTCCTTTTATCCCATTTGCTATTAGCAAAACTGATGCAAAGTACCTGCCAAGTGAAAACAGTTTTTACTGCTCAAAATAATGCTCAATTGTAAGATTTGTTTTGAAAAGCTTTTTGTATCTCTGCTGTTCTTACAGATCAGGGAGACTGGGGAAAGGCCCAGTAATGAGGAAATCCTGAGGTTCTCGAAACTATTTGAAGATGAGTTGACTCTGGACAATCTAACCAGGCCTCAGTTGGTGGCACTTTGTAAATTGCTGGAACTTCAGTCAATTGGGACAAATAACTTTCTCCGCTTCCAGCTGACTATGAGGTTAAGAAGTATAAAAGCAGATGACAAAGTGAGTCATTCTAGATATGTACTGGTTAATAATGTTCATGTGTAAGAAGAGAAAATCGTGTGTGTGTGTGTATACATAGTTTTTCTAGGCATTTTCCTCTCCTTAATTTGAGCTAACTTGCAACAAAAAGGCTTGGACTGCAGTGTAATATTCGCTGCTGTTTTATGAATAGTGGAGGCTGCTTTGTGTTACCACAGCAGCCTCTAGTGGCTATTCTAAAAATGCAGGCTTCTGAGTGTGCACTGGTGGTTCTTCAGATTTGAGCAGTTACGTATTGAAGTTTATTCTGCGTTTTGTGCAGATGATTGCTGAAGAAGGAGTTGATACCCTGACTGTTAAAGAACTGCAGGCAGCGTGTCGTGCACGAGGGATGAGAGCCCTTGGTGTGACAGAGGAGCGTCTCAAGGAACAGCTCAAACAGGTATGTTTTTTGCAAGACTGTATACACAGACTTAATTGCTAACTATGATTTTTTGTTATCATTCGGATAAAATCATTTTGCTGCTCCTCTCATTAAAGACTTGGCTAAAATAGTCTTCTTAAGCTTTTGTAATGTGTTCCCTCTAAGTACAGAATAGGGTAGACTTGTGATTTTTAGCTGGGTCGTGATGTTTTCATGATGATGTTTAAACATATTCAAAATATGTTTTCACTTATGCCTCTTTGTCTTGTGAATTATTGCTATTAATCTGTAAAGTGTGTTTCTCCTGGTAAATCTTGGAGAAAAGAAAGCTTATCTTTTGGTTACCCGATTCAGAAGATGATGCATATGGAAAAAAAATATTCTCTTTTTCAGGTCTCTTTTTCAATGCAATCACTGTATTTCAATACTGTTACAGCCTGTAGTTCCTGTATTAGGATATTTATCAATAACTAGAGGTTAAAAAAATTAGTGTTTGCACTTTTTTTGTATGCATGTGTTAATTTATAAGAAGAGAAAGACTTCCAAAAGCTAAAGGCTTGTGTTTTATGTATTTCATTTGTAGTGGCTAGATCTGCACTTGAACCAGGAAATCCCTACTTCATTGCTCATTTTGTCCAGGGCCATGTATCTTCCAGACACGCTTTCTCCAGCTGATCAGCTCAAAACAACACTTCAGACACTACCAGAGAGTGTTGTAAGTGTGATTTATACTATCTGTAACTAACTTGCAGTACAGTCACTGAAAATCTGTTTAGAACAGTAGATATTCTTGGTCTCTTTCCTTTCCTTGAAAAGCTTTAAAAAAAAAAAAAAAAAAAAAAAAAGAAAAAGGGGGGGGGGGGTGGAGGAGGTAGAATTTTACATGGATGATGCTAAAACATAGAAATGGGCTGTGGATGGGTTTGATAAGGCAAATGAAAGGCAGCATTTTGTTGCACAAGGGAGAGAGTGGTAGTGTAGGAAGGTGCAGCATGCACTTCTTACACCTAGTTATGCTGTAGGCAATACAAAGGTGCTGAGGTGGAGTGTTTGTAGCCTCCCTACTGCTATGTTGGTTATGGTTAATGAGAGATGGATGTGAAGTTTTAAATTACTGTACGGATTTTTTTTTTTCTTCTGAATATTGGTGGTTGTTCCAGATGAGTTCAGTCTCACATAGGGATGGGATTTCTCAGGCCATATTTAAGAACGAAGGGTGAAAGTGATTGCAATTTTCTGCTTCATGAAGAACAGAGGTGGAGATGTTCATAAGTGAGATTCTGTTATGGTTGAAATACTGCATTAACTTGGAAGTTTGTAAGGCTTTATGTTATGTCAAAAGAATGAGAGTTCAGCTATTTCCTTAGGCTTTTTAGGGCAATGCTATCTTAAAATTTTTTGAAAGTTAAGTATGAGGCATGGCAGACTGGGGTATCTCTCTTGACTTCACTAGTTTCCTTTTGGCACTAGAAACTATCATGGTTTGCTCAGTTGCTTATATGAATTTGGCCTTGTCCAAAAATAGCATGTGGGGAGAATTACCTTATCTTCTTCACAAGACTTGCATTTTGTTTCACCCCGTGTGTTCTTTTCTGAGTTATTTTTCCAGTGTTACTGTTCAGACTTTTGGTTTGTGGAAGAAAGAGATCTACTAAAATTAATCATTTCCACTAGTGGGATTTGTTTTTTTTAATTTGAGTTCTTTCTTTTCTATCATGATGGAAGGTAGTTATCACTTAAAAATAAATGTTAAAATTAGTTCTGTTCTGTTTCTTGTAACTCAGAAACAGAACATTTTTATGGGGTTTTCAAATACGTGGTCCTCCAATAAATATAAAAAAAAATTGTGAACTAAAGAACTGTTTTTCTTCGTTCACCTTATTTATGAAAACTCTATTCAGTGTTAAAATTAAACTCAGCTAGCAGTTGAAAATGGGTGCACAACTGTTTACCTTTAGATCTCTTCAAGACTGATTTTTTTCTCTGATAGAGTTCTCAGAATGTTCCAGTCTGAATGAACATACTGAACTTTCATTTATGCAGATTCCTATTCTACTGTATAACATACAACTAAGAATTCTGTGCATCTCTGTACATTTAACATACTAATTTAGTTCCTCAACATAGAAGCCACAAACCAAACTTACATAGCATGTAGACAGAATCAGAAACTGCAGATTAGAAATGGCAAAAGCGAAACTTGTAATCCAGACAAGTTCAAGAAATACATTTAATTCAGTGTTTGATGATGAGTATGTCAATGTTTTGTAGAGAGAGACTATTTGAAAAAAATGTATTTGTGCTCTTGAGAGAATAAAGAATAGATCATATTTTCAGAATGGAAAATTCTTATTTACAAAGAGAATTTTTTTTCTGAAAAATGGAAAAAAGACAACTTTTTGCAATTTCAGCTGTATTTATTAGCATTCCTACACTACCTGTCTCAATGATATTTGAACTTTTTTGCATTATATCAACACACACAGATTTTTATATATTTCTTGCATTACTTTTAGGCCAAAGAGGCTCAAGTCAAAGTGGCAGAAGTTGAAGGTGAAAAAGTAGATAACAAAGCACGGCTGGAGGCAACACTTCAGGAAGAAGAAGCCATCAGAAAAGAAAATGAGGAAAAAGAGATGGAAAGAATATCTGAAGCTGCAGAGAAAGCCAAAGAAACTCTTCAGGTTGCAGCTGCGGTAAGTTCTGTTCTCAGCTACTGAGAAATAAATGTTAGCAGTGTAAAATTAGCATGTTACGAGTGATTGTCTCTGTTTTGGGTGTTGTCTGCAAGAAACCAGACTTTAAATCCACTTATGGAAAACGTGGAAAGATACTAAAACAGAATGCAGCATAGGAGGATTCAGTGTGAAACCTCTAATGCTGCCTCTTATGTATCTCTGATTCTTCTTAATCAGAGTCATAAGAGGAAACATTCAACTACCAAGAGAGTAAGAGGTTTATGTTTGCTTTGTTTTTTAAGTTTTTGGGCTGGTTTTCTCGTTGTATTTTTCCTTAGTGTAAATTGTGATTGTTCTTACCTTTTGGCTCCTTTTTTGTTTTTCCTTCATTAGTCAGGTAGTGTCATTGGTATAATACTTGAGCATAAAAGCTGCTGGCCTGGCTTATTGCATGCCTTAAGCCTTATGTGCTCACAGGCATGGTCCATTAGGTGCAGTTGGGCATGTTAGTATGAAACCACTCCATATACTGAAAGTTTTTAATGTTACAAAAATGTCTGCATCTCCTTAGGCAATTACTTGTATTTTAAGAAATCATTATTTGCTGGTGCTAATAAAGATAATTCTGTCTTTGTTTTAATTGAACTTCTTGGGTCTGTCAAATTTAGAAAGAAGTAGAGTTGGCAGTAGATATTGAACCAGCTGTTCTGCAAGTTAAAGAAAGTCAGGTGGCTATGGACAGCAAGCAAGAGCTGGCAAAAGCAGATATGGAAACGTTGAAAGATACAGCACCCATACTGGAAGGCATTAAGGTAATGTGACTGCAAATTCTTAATCACCAGTGCAACAACTGAAACTGGCTCATAAAAAATTCAGCATCTCCTTTGTCTCTGTCACTGAAACTAATGCGCTTATTTTGTGGGGGCGTTTCCACTGACTGTAGACATGATGGGTCTATGGATGTTTGTACTTAACATGAGGAAGGTGTGGACATGAGTAGATAAATGTGAGTGGCTTTTCCTTTTAAAGGATACAGATAAGACTAAAGCATTAAACTAGGAACTAGGCTTTCCAAAGTTGGAACTAGTCTGTACTAGATCCACACTGAGTTCTTTTAAACAGATGTATGTGCTGTATGTACACTATAAAAATGTTTTTAGTATACCTTCCTGCCATTTCTTTAATATGTTGGTCAACATGGCTTAACGTGTTTCAGCTGTACCATCACAGAGGCCATTAATTAAAGTGTTAAACAGTATACCTCAATGTTTTACAGGATACATCAATATTGTACTGTCTCCTATTTTTCCTGGGCAGCATCATTATCTGTTATTAGCATAACATTATTTGTTTAATAAGCAGGTTCTAATGGTAGCAGCATAATAATCTGAGGAGTACTGAAAGATTGTTCAAGGTTGAATAATTAGGGGAACTAAACGTTTTGCTTCAGGCTTTTTTTTTTCACATTAATGTGCCATGTTGTCTGTTACAAGGGGGGAGGGGGTGAATATTAAACTACTGACTTCTTGAAATCATTTAATTTTATTTGTGGCAGAGGAATTTTTCAAACAGCTACTTCCTGGTTGTTGTTTTTTGGGGTTGAGGGTTTTTGTTGTTTTGCACTTAAAATCAGAAATGAGGTTGATATCTGTGTAGGTAGCAGTATAGTGAAACTGTTGTTGAAAGGGCTGTATGTAGTTTGTGAAGTTCTGTGTTTTTTTCTTGGAAGTATATCATCCTTCTGTTTGTTTACATGTGTCTTTCTGTACTGTGCTTATACATCTGTTCAGAGCTCTTTCCTTCAGAACAAAAGCTGGTGTCTGGGTAGGATTTATGTAATACACTAGCTGGATCTGCTGTCATGGGATTTTAGCATTTTTAATGAGTCATTCTTGAAATTGTATTTTTGATGTAATCTGTTGGGAGTTCAGTTTTATTCTCAGCATTTCAAGAGGCATATAGGCTCTGCAAACTTTGAATGTTCATCTGTATAATTAGAAAACATACTGAAGATTTTGTTTCAGCTCAACATCCTGAACTTTGCTCTGCAAAATCTTGTGTGATGAGTATTTCCTGTATATGATGCCTGAGTCATTTCTCAGTTATTCAGGTTTTCCATTCAGTAGAGAAGGAGGTAAAACCTTTCTTTCTTTAATGAGACAACTATGTGTAGGATTTCAAATAGCCAAAACCCTTGTAATGAATCACAGTACCTGAACCAGATACTAGTGTGCTTAAACAGTACTATGGCGAGCTAATTCTCAGTATTTATGATCTCTGTGTGAGGTTCAAAATGCCAGTCTATACTGTGTTGGCTCTGAACATGGATGAAGAACCTGAAGTGTGTCCTTGCTATCTTGTGAATTTATTTTATTTTATTAGGAAAATCACACACATGTCTCTCACTGATTTGTATTTTCTGTTACAGGGTGAGGAAATAACTAAGGAGGAGATTGACATGCTGAGTGATGCTTGTAATAAGCTGCAGGAACAGAAGAAATCGCTAACAAAGGAAAAGGAGGAGCTTGAGGAACTGAAGGGTGATATCCAGGAATATAACGAGGTGAGATTGCTTAAAAAACAAAATAGTAATAATAATAATAAAATCTGTTCTTGTTCAGTTTTAGAATAAATGACCTACATAGTTAAAGATTATCTTACTTGGATGTCTGTTAGCTTGTATTTGCTAGCTGAGTTTTATACTGCTTTAGAGGACAGTGCAGAGCTTTAGGCTTTAAACACATTAAACAAGTAGTTAAAATCATTGGAGTTGTTCCCTCCAGAAGAGAGTGCTGTTCCTACTCTTATTCCCTGTGTGACCAGAGTAATAGGTGCTAAACGTGCTGCAGTTCTTTCTAATCAAACATAGTGTCAGTATTTTAGATGCCTTAAGTTAACTGGGATTGTATTCAATCTCTTGAAGGTTGTGTCTGGGTGCTGGAATGGGCTGCCCAGGAAGGTGGTAAGGGAACGTTTAGACACTGAGCTGAGGAACATGATTTAGTGAGAGCTGTTGGTGATCGGTGGGTGGTTGGACTGGATGATCTTGTAGGATTTTTCCAATCCCTGGTGATTCTATGACTGTGGCAAATACCATTGAAAGAATTTATGAAAATGGCTACAGTGTTAAGAGTTGGTTCTGATTTCATTTTGACTTTGTATATCATCATTTAGATTTTATTTACAAGGGGCCCCTGTCTTGAAATACTCGTCTCTAGACTGCAGTGTCATTAAGAATTCAGACATGCAAAAAGTTTTTCTTCCTGACCATTTCTTTTAGGATTTGCAAGAAATAAAGGAGCTTTCTAAAGCTGGCCAGGAAGAAGTAGTGGAAGAATCAAAGGCGAGCAAGCGACTGACCAAAAGAGTGAACCGGATGATTGGTCAGATAGACAAAATTATTAATGAGTTAGAGACAAATCAAAAGACAGTGGATGTAAAGCTTGATAGAGGTGATAGTCCTCCTGCTGCTGGGTAAGTGACTGGAGAGCACTGAATTTTCTTTCTGAAATATGTCAAATATGGTTGAAATAAGGGTGGAAAGGCAACACGTATAAATTCCTTTGATGCTAGCCTAATTGTATATGTTTGACACCCTGACTTTCAGAACCCCATCTTTTTCATGCATGTAGGCCTCATGATGATGCAAGTGAAATCACACCTTCAGTAATGCTACTCAGGCAATGTGTGCCTTGTGTCATTAATGTAAACAGTATGCAACAGTTGTGAGCATATTTTTGTTTGTTCTGCTTCAGTAGTGAAAGTGTTGGGGGAAAAAAAATGGTAATAAAATCCATTTTGTCAGGTGTAAGGAGGTAACTCTTCGGAGAGAAATGTGAGGACACTTAAAGGAAATGGAGGTAGTTTTACATGGCTCCTTTCTGAAGACTTAATTACAATAAAAAACTTAAATGAAATCATTTCAGATTAATTTATGAAGACCTGTAGAAGTGTTGAGGTTACTGGAGGGTCTTTCTTCCAAGTCATGTGTTTCACAGTCGTATGTTATTTGTTATGAGTACTGAGATGCAGATAAACTGTGACAGAATCTTTCAATCTGTGTTTGTAAATGCAGTATTCATCTACTTTGTTTGCTTCTCAGCTTCCAAAAAACATAACCCAAACAAAAATAAGGATTTAGTTTCAGTTCCATCCAGACTGTTTTCTTCCAGTCCCCAGGGGAAGCAGTCATTCGTTTCAGATTTTGCATAAGACTGAGGAGGCCATGTGAAAGGTGCTACAGGGAGTTGTTAATCAAAACCATCCTAATTTGTAAATTAAAAATAAAATATAGCAACTGTTTGCACTAAATGTCATTGTACTTGATGTAATGAATGTCTCTGGGAGAAAAACTCTAAATTGGTAGCAGTTCTGGGCAACCTGATCTTAGTGAGTGGCAACGCTGTCCATGGCTGGGGTTTGGAGCTAGGTGATCTTCAAGGTCACTTCCAGCCCAAGCCATTCAATGATTTTTGTAACTGAAAATGATTAACTTAAACATTGCTTAGTTGTAAATGCTTTTTTGCATTCTGTTCAGGATTATAAACAATTATTTAATGTTTTACAAGTTACCTGCAACATAGTGACTTTCAATGCTTATCTTTTGTGAGTTTTACTCCTTTGGAATAACTGTTTGTCATATACAGATTGTGCTTCCTCTTTAGGGAGAATCTCATCAGTATTGCTGAGTTAATTAATGCAATGAAACAAATCCAGAAGATTCCAGAGGAGAAACTAACGAGGATTGCAGAGGCATTAGATGAAAACAAAGATGGCAAAATTGATATAGATAACGTTGTTAAGGTAAGTCTGTGGACTATTTGAGGAAAATAAGCTTAGGAATTCAGATGTTGTGCCTATGACAGTCCTGACTTAAATTCACATTAATGTTTTTTTGCAAGAATTGCAAAAGAACTTGATGCTGTCTACTTATAGTACACTTCCGAAAACTTCACTGGCATCAAGGAAGGATTCTTGTCATCTTTACAATTTGTGTCGCTGTTTCAGAGGGGGATGATGATTCTTATCCTGTGTCTGTTACCTGCATTAGCTTTAAAGCTGTAGGTTTTACTTGCATCTGTAAAAGTGTATGTGTGTATGAAAAACATCATATATAAAAAACGTTTGTGTGTATATATTGTATATATTTACACATGATATAGGGTAATTTTGTTATGCTACTTAAGAATGGAAGGGAGGATGGAAAGAAGTTTTGAATACTTCATGTATTAACACTTCAGTAATACCACAGATGTACACCTTAAATATTTGATTATGACTTATTTCCTATGGTTGAAAGACATCAGACCATTGTTTTACTCTTTAGATTCATTGTAAATGACTGAAATCAGATCATGTATGTTTTAGAGTTACCAGCTGATAGATAATTTGGCCATTTTGTCCGTTTCTGCTCCTTTTGAAGTAATGTCTTAATGCTTTTGAGAGGCATTTTATACTTGGTGACTACTGAATTCCTTATCTGAAAGTAGAGTATCACATACCTCTTTTTAACCTTTTTTCTTTGTCCATTTTTCTCATTTTGCAGTTTTCTCAGGTTGTCTCCTGTGTTCTCCTTTTGTTTTCTTGTTTCTTTTCTATTTTAGAGATGTCTTGAAACTTATTTCCTTGCAAGTAACTTTCCTACTCGATACAGAAATACTTTTTAGAGATAGAACAGTATGGCCAGCTAAAAAACATAGTAATCAGCCTTTTGAAACTCTTTTCCCCGTACTGAAGTTGTCCAGTGATGATGGCCTCCACTGTTGGTCTGAACAACTGTTGCATTGAGTTACATTTAGCAACACAGGAAAAATGAACTTCCTGAGTTATAATAATGAACAATTTTGAGAACATGAGCTATGTCAAGAGCTATTTTGTACAAGAAACTTTATAAAGGAATTTGGAAACTCCTAATTTTTTTTTTCACTTGGCTTTCCAAAAGACCCACCCCCGTGCTTCATTTTTTGTAAATGTCTGCCTTTTTAGTAGGCCTCCTCAATAAAGTGAAGCATATGAAATAGATTCTATGTAAATAACATTTCAGAAATATTAGATACTGAAATGGAGCTTTCTGTTGAAACGGATACAATATGGGACATGTCTCACTAATGTTCTAAAATATGGCTTTGGTGCTAAAGCTTTTGAATATTCCAAGTACGAGGCACTGGTTGTGATTGGAAATTTATTTCATTTTGGTAAAAAACAAAAAAACAAAAAAACAACCAGCTCTTGAATGTGAGAGAACTTTTTTTCTTAACAATTTAAGATATGAAAATGTCTTGTTATAAAAACGTTATTCTGAATTTCACTCACTCTTTGTGTAGGTAGTAGAATTGATAGACAAAGAAGATGTTGATATTGGCACCAGCCAGGTTGCTGAGATTATGGCACTGCTTCAAAAAGAAGAAAAACTGGAAGAAAAGGAGAAGGCAAAGGAAAAGCATGATAAAGAAGCTGCAGAAGTAAAGAATTAAGCTTCAGAATCTGAAGCAAAGCCCAACTGTAACCAAAATTGTATATCTTTGTGTCTAATGGCTACATATTACTGGAGCTTTTGTGATTATGGAAAGTGTTTTGAGCTGATACTAGTAATAAATTATAGATACGTTTTCTGACATATGGAATGAAATTTTTGTTCATCAAAGAAGTGATTTATTGTCATTCCATACAGATGAAAACAAAATATGCTGCTTCAGCAGTGTTCCTGCCCATGAAATCATGTTATATTTGCACTCATTGTTGTGGTACAGTGATCCAAAATATTTCTAATTTATTTACTTCCATCATTACGTGGGGCCCAACCTTGCTCTGCTTCTACCTGCTAGCTTTTGCAGAACTTAATACAAATTTTCCCTTCTGTCCCAGTATCACTTTTTTTTGTAACCTGTTAGTGAAGATTCTGTGGCTTCAGTAGTAGCTCTTCAGGTTGAGCTTTATTTAAGCTGAATATCACCAAGCCGTTGCCTCAGTGACAGAGAATGTGACATTCTAATCACTTACAAATTTGTTTTCTTTTCTTTTGAAGGGAAAATAGGATTAGTTTTTCCCTAGAACTGAAACTTCCCATGAAGTTTGCTTCTTACGGGTGCCTTAAATTAAGATCAAGGAGTGGAACATCTCACTTCTACTCAGAGTTCCATAAATTACTAAAGCATTGGAATCACAGGAGCCTTTCAAGTAGTTCCAGAACAGATAATGTATTTGTCTAAATAGCAAAATGAAATTAACTGTAAGGGGAAAATGTCAGTTGTGATCTCGTCACATATATTTTTTAAAAAATGCAGTTATGGAGGCATGTTTGTTGTTATTCATGTGGCAGTTATTTACTCCATAACTAGTTCTTACCTCTCAGTTGTCATCTCAGGTGTAACATCTCTAACCAAGTACATTCAGAGTACTTAAATGCTTTCATCTGACCGTGCAGTCAGCAAGTGATGTCTGAAATTGGCAGCGTTTTGATTACAATTTTGGCTTTCTAATTAATTGATTGAGTCTTTTGACTCGGGTCAAAGTTTACTCATTAATGTCTGTCCTTAGTGGTAATTTTTTAAGATTTAAAATTAATATGCCACCTGTAGGATGTTCATAATTCCTGATAGCCTGAATTTCCCTGATTCTTACAGTTTGTGATAAAATACAAGAGGTGTGACTTGACCCCACAGTTTTATTGGTTTTTTTTTTTTCCATTTTGCATCCAGTTAAATTACATTAACATTCTTGATTTTGTGTACATTGTAGAAAACACATCTTATGGTTATGCCGTTCACAGCAATATTGAGGAGGGCAGTTTGTAATTAGTGCTTTTGATAGTAGTTGTGTATTTTCATAGAAAGTATTGACTCCCAGGTGTATTTCAGCATAACTCTACATATAGTATTTATCTAGTTTGGCTAAATTATTTGTAAAAATGCATTTGAAGTTGGTGGAACAAAAAATATTTGGACAGTCTCAGGGCCTTGCATAGTCATGGAATCATAGAATGGCTTGAGTTGGAAGGGACCTCAGACCATCCAGTTCCAACCTCCTGCCGTAGACTCTTCGTCCCCCACCAGATCAGGCTGGCCAATACCCCATCCAACCTGGCCTTGAACGGAGTTTGCTTTGGATTTGGCAATAATTTCTTAATGGTATTGTAAAATCCAGAGTAGTAGACTTTGGATTTTAGACAAGTAGAAGACTTGGTACGCAGTGACTCCCTGTACTGAAATGCCAAACATTTGGTACAGTTCAGGAAGTCCATCTGCTGTGGCAGTTTCAACAGTACAGTCACCAAGTCCCTGGAGCTGTTGCTCAGCAGCATCTTTCACATGACTGCGGGTAACAAAGTTTGCTCAAAGTCTAATGGATGTTCTAAACACTGGGATGTTACTCTTGTGGCTGTAGCAGAAGCCAGGTTTGACAAAAACTTTATCCAGTACTGTTAATCCACTTTGGACATGAGAATCCCTTTTCTTTAAAAGCAACATTTAGGTGCCTGTATTTGAAAATACTGAATAACATATGACAAATGGCCATGCCAGAAGCTGAAAAATCCTTGCTCCCTGGGGACGCACAAAAAGCAGTAGATTTGTGCCCTTGCACTGCTGATCTACCTGGGTCTGTTTGGACAAGGCAGTAGCAACTCCATCTGCTCCGTGGGCACCATGGCCATCTTGGAGATAATGGACCATTGTATTTAGTTATTTCCAAAACAGGATGTACAGTAGTATGTATAATACAACTCTAGAGAGCAGGGTCAGTGTTTAAATGTCTTAGATTAATATTCTGTGCATTTTGGAAGGTTGCTTACAGTAAGTGTGTAATCTTACATCAGTAAGATGTGACCGATCTTCCTAAGAATTACTGTAATTATAGAATCATAGAATTGTTTGAGTTGGAAGGGACCTTTAAAGGCTGTCTTATCCAACTCCTCTACACTGATCAGAAACAGCTACAGCTTGACCAGGTGCTCAGAGCCCCGTCCAGCCTGATCTTGAGTGTCTCTGGGGATGGGGTATCCACCATCTCTCTGGGCAGCCTTTGCCAGTGCTTCACTCCCTTTGTGGGAAAAAAAAAGTGCCACATTTTCTTCAATCTAAACCTCTCCTCTTTTAGTTTGAAGCCACTTCCCTTTGTCCTGTCACAACAGATCCTAATAAAGAGTTTGTCCCCTTCTTACTGCCCTCATTTAGATAATGTAAGTGCTGCTATCAGATGTCCCTGGATCCTCTCCTAGCTGAAGAGTCCCAGCTCACTCTGTTGTCTCTTAGGGGAGGTGTTCCATCCCTTGAAACGTCATTATTTTGTGTAAAATTGCTTTGACAAAGCTGACATTTCAATCTGATACAAGCTTTTCAATTAATGTACCCCTAAACAAACAAGGTATTCTCTTTCTTATAAAATGGGATTTACTTGGAGATTTCAACGTGAAAGGTAGTTTGTGAATTTTGAAGATTGCATTTCACTAGGTGCAATTTTTCGTGGCTGAAAACCCATGAAGAAAATTAATGTCACAATACAGTTTTAAAACTTCTAAATTCTGTAAGTCAACGGACTGGAATTAATGAACTTTGAAATACACTAAATTTTCCATTTGCATATTTTCCATTTCCAAGCAGCATGTAACAATCTTACTTAACATTCCTGAAATGTCATCAAGTTATTCTGACTAGAATGGTCTGCTAGCTTTCATGCGGTAGCAAATGCTGAAGAATGGTGTGGACTTGAATGCACACCAGTTTATACAGGGAAGTAGCAGAACAAGCTGTTTCCAAAGCTTTATGGATTCAAGTTTCATGCAGCTTTAATTCACCTGACATCTTATCTGAATGCACTGTTCAGGAGCTTAGGAGACATGGTTGCTTGTCTTGTCTTGTGTTTGCCGTTCACTTAAATTTTTTGTGGATTAAATAAGGAGGGAGCCATAAGTAGCCAATTCTTTTGTAAAGAATGTACAGGTTAAAATAAGTGCAGTATGGTTATTGAACATTTTTATCTTTTGGACTGGTTTGAAATTTGGCATACTGTGAAATTTTAATTGTTCACAGAATATCCATTTAAATGCACTGTTTTCAGAAACTAAAGTCAGTTTTCCCGTTACTTAAAGAGTTGAAGTGATGTGCACATCAATCATAGTGAGGCATTTTGCAGGAAATCTCTCTGATGCTGCAAGTAGGCAAACCCAATAACATCAAGACTTTTGCAAGCTTAAAAAGCTTAGGAAGCCCTTGGTGACTGATGCTTACCTGGTTTTGAACCTTAACAAACAGCTCTGTACGGGTGAGTCAGGCAATGTGAGCACGTCGGTGGCTTGTGGACTGGCTTCAGGTAACCTGCTTTGTCTTTCATGTTGACCAAAAACCCAGGAGCCACAGTACTTTCAGAGAAAGGATGACTTCCAAGTGTACAGTAACTGGTCAGAACTTATTCCTGAATGAATATTTAGTCAGGAGATGTAAATATTTGTTTAAATAATTAAAAGATGTATGAGATTTGTGTGACGTTGTGACTTACACGGGCAAAGCCTCTAAGCTCAGAGTTGGGTTATCAGTAAAGCCGTTGTTGGAGTTGTTTGAGATTCTGTGGGGTCAGAGTTTGATTAAAATCTATCCAAAGGGGGAAACTAAAAAATAATTTAAAAATAATATGGAAAGCTTAAAATAGCAGTGGGAGGGAAGTAAAGTATGACTTCTTCCCCATCAAAGCAGGTTATAGGACCTACTGTATTGAAGTATTTATTTCCAACTTATAAGATGGTTTTTACTGAGATTTGAGTAAGTCTGCCTGCAAGTGAAGTACCAGAAAACCAATTTAATAGGTGGTTTGTCAGCAGGACTGCATGCAGATTGAGAATGCTCTCTTGACAAGATGGTGTATTGCACTACAGGCTTTGTCTGGGAGAAGCTGTACCTTTTATACAACTCCAAAATACTTCTTGAACTTTTTATCTGCATATCTTGCTCATCATTTGAACTTTAGCTTCTTCAGCATGTATTTAAATCCTTTCAAATTGTTTATATGAAATTATCGGGTATATTTAATTAAAAGAATGATCCAATATTCTGTTATTCTGTATGTATTCAAACGTTTACTTTTTGGTTTAAGAATTTCAGCCCATGTTAAAAGTGCTCTGAGCATACTGGTCCTGTGTTTGCCATAATGCAATATATGATTTTTAAGTTAATTGGAGCTTGTGTCCTTTGTTTAGTTTTAATAAATGTATCATTTTGAAGCCTGCTCTGTCCATTACTTTTTTTTTTTTCCCTGTTCCTTTTCATTGTTCAGTATTGACTGTTGCCCACATGAGATGGTCAGTGACGACCTGAGTATTGTAACTAAAATGTTTGGGATGGAAGAGGGCACGTACGAGGTGGGATATACTTATATGTTCCTCTGTAATCTTAATGTTCTTCACAGAGTTCACTTCAGCCTGTGGCAAATTTCTGAGCATATCTGACGTCTCACAGCTGTTTGTGATTTATGTTTACCTCTTCCTGCAGCTTTGGCAGCGTGGGTGAGAAGGCAGATGGAGCCCAAGTCAGCAAGGTGTTCCAGCGCACACGTGGTCCCTTGGAAACAAAGGTGCTTTCAGCCATAATTTGTATTACAGTCCTTCTTGGAAAAGTTTCAGTGCTTGTCCCAGCTGTGCTCAGTGCTTAAAGAAGTGCAGAGCTGAGATGCTCCAGGCCCTGAAGATGGGGAGGTGCGGGTACAGAAGCCTGTGCTGTAGGCAGTCTCCTGGCTTCTTTCAAACAAGATTGGGAATATGCAAACATGTGGATCTACTTCTAGTGTCAAAGCATTTCCGCAGATGGCTGAAAACAACTTCCTATCTTGAGACCTCCTGGATGGGTGAGGGTTGGCTGCAGATTTTTGCTTTTTATGCTTAAAGCCAAATGTCATGGAAAAGGAGCAAGTTCTGCTATTTTTTAAGCTTTGCTTTAAAATTTCCTTTAATTATAGGCTTATTTAGGGTGAATGGGATTTTGTGCAGCTGCGTAGTAAAGCAGACAGTGGAGAAATTGTGGCTTTGAGCTTGTAAACTGAATCTGCATGTCAACAAGTTCACCTGATCATAGGTGGCCTGAGCCCCCTGGGCAGACTGCGTCCGGTATGCACTGAGATGCATTGGTTATATGAAAAAGTTTTAATTAAGTATCCCTTCTGATAGATGATAATTATCCATTTCCCTGCTCTAGGGAACCTGCTTTAGCAGGAGTTGCACTATGAGATCTCCGGAAGTCCCTTCCAACCCCTACAATTCAGCGATTCTGTAATTACAGATGAAAAGTTAAACGTTGTGCACAGAAAGGGAATTATAACTAACTTTGCTAATTAGAAGTAACAGAGATACTGCTTCACTGATGGAAGCCTCTCCTACATCAGACTGGTGATGGAGGGGTGTAGAAAAGTGGCAGGAAAAACTTCTGACTTCGTGAAGTCAAGGTCTTAACGTGTTAATATAGGACTTCTATTGCAGATTGTCTGGTGAAAAGTCATTTAATGTTGAATACAAATGCATAGTTCGATGGTTGTGTGGTCTCAAGGCTTGAGAAATGTGTGCTGAGTTACTGCCCGTCCTTCCAATAACACATCACGTGGCTCTTGTGTCACAGTTACACACAACTATTTTGCCACTGGCTGGATAGTACCTGCTCCAGGGCAGTATCTCCTTC